CACACACACACACATACACACACACACACACACACACTCAAACAAACACACACACACACACATACACACACACACACACACACACACACAAAATGGACAAATTTTTAATTCCTTCTACACATTTATTCTTTTTGTTTTCAGAAGCCTTTAGAATTTGGGGCCTTTTCTCAGCGTTCAGGGTATATATATTTGTATGTTGACTCGGCATATACGTACAGCAAGCTTTTCATAGCCGTATAGGCAGATGGTACAACAATAAGATTTTTACATGGAAATTTTTTTTCTTCTCTCCTTCTGATATTACGCCTCATAAATCTCGCCCCTCATCATCTTGTCCAAGGTTTTTACTCATTCTGCTTGAGTGCTTCAGGCAATGAACTCTATTTTTGAAAAGCTCATCTGATTGTTATTATTAAATGTGCTGAACACAACCGTGTAAATTGATGTACCGTGGAATCTGCTTCAACTGAAATCTGCAGGACTGCCGAAGTGTCTTCGGTTTCGCCGGGCTTTCGGTTCGCAGAGTTTGCTCAAATAGAAGGGGGGAAAAAATGGAGGATTTTTCTTTTCTTTCGGTTTATTGTGGTTTTCGGATATAATCCATGCTTGGTTGATGCGAATTTCATTGTATGAATTGTTGTTTCACTTTCTACACCCAAAGTCTGAATTGATTGCTCTGATTTCTTTGACTTGGGTATCGGGGAACAGTTGAGTTCTGACGCTAATTTTTCAACAACGCTGTCTGTACATTCGTTTTGTATGTGTGAGTTTTTGTTTTTTTTCAAGTAGTGGCCAGTTTTTGTGTTTGAGCTTTCGATAGTCTTGGCAATGAGAGGAACGGCTGACTTTTTTTTTTTTTTTTTCAGTTGGGAAGATTCAGATGTTGGAAAAACTTAATATAATGTCAAATGTATGACATGAGCAAGATTGATTTTTACACAGCTCTGTTAAGTTATGATTTAAGAACAGTATTGGATTTGACATACTTTTACTTACCTTTCTCCTTTAGCCTCTAAAATAGTAATTTGACTTTGTTTTGAAGATAGTTTTTATAAACTTTTATATTAGACTTTTATAGTAGATAGTTAAAGTAAATTGCTTCCATAACAGTAAGTGTAAGCCGATGGGGACAATTTCTCCACATACTGTTATATAAGGCCTATGGAACTTGAATTGAAGTGGAAGTTATTAAAAGGAAAAATATAGGGATTAAATTACAAACACAGCAGTATGCACTATGCAATCACACACATAAGTTTGTACAGGATTCCAATAGGCTTGTGTTTATATGTTACAATTTTTAGGGTGAGTGAGGGGAACGGCTGAACAGGATTTCATTTCACCTGAGTGCAGTTCTGTTGATGGAATGATCAAGTACCCAGGGCTTTGTTTGAAAACCAAATATCTTTATAGTTCCCCATTGACCCAAGATCATTACATGCTTTGTTATGAGGTAAGATATTTTCTGTTTGTTTGTATCAAACAGATGTGTAAATTTAATGTGATGTATATGATAAGCTTACAAAATTGATATATATATTATATATATATATGTATGTGTGTGTGTGATTTTTGTTGTCATGAGTTTTGCTGCGTAGAGTCTTGATAATCAAAGGGTATTGGTTGTGATCTTTATTTCTGTGTAGATATTTGTTGAATTAATCAAAAGTTGCTTAACTTTGTGTCCCTTCTTCAGAGCACCCAGCAGATCTTTTGTTGAGAATCGAAAGAAGAATGAGTGCCGAATGTAAGAAAAGAAAGGATGTACATATTCTGTGCCAGTAAAATTCATTCCAAGTGGTTCGGGTGTAGTTCTAGTAAGAGTTTAGTGGTACTTGCAAACCCCAGGACCAGCCTCTCAGTTTATGATGTGGGCCAGTGGCCTTAAACACTGAATAAACTTACTTACTTTCTTACTAATGGTACTTGCGATACAGTTAGGTCACATATATATATGTTCTGAAGATTAGAGGTGTTGTTACTAGAGAGTTGCATACAGAGAAAAGAAGGGGGAGAGGATGTGGGCAGGTATGCAATACTGCCCGCGAGGAACAATAACGACGACAGATGTTTCCTCACCCGAGGACCGACCTCTCAATTCCTGAGGTTTGTGTATACTGCTAAATTAAGGAAAAATATGATCCTCTATTTTTTTGTGTATGTCGTAAAATTTGGTGGTTGGGCACGACAGCACAAACTGTCTTTGTTTTAGTTTTAGTAAGGTTTTACGGCGTTCCAACTGCTTAAGGTCATATGAGCGCCATCGAACTGTCTTTTCTTTGGCGGTACGGCTCGAAAGAACACGACACTTTTTGTTGATCCAGTGCGAAAAGACAGCATCTTACTCTTAGCAGAAATTTTTATGGGGCAGGGGGGGTATTATGAGAGTTGTATCAAATATTGGAGTGCGTTAAAACACATTTTTTTAAATAGTTATATCCAATGTATGGTCTTGAATTAAAATTTTGTTCTTCTTAACCCTTTTGATTTCAATTTCGACGATTGCTGAATTACGGGGTCGGGTCCCAGTTTTGACGATCGTCAGAGATGCATGGTGTGTTTTGTTCACAACGCTCATGGTTTTGATATCAATTGGAATCAGTGAGAGTTCTCGTATTTGTCCATAAGCTATCGTTCTTTTTTTAGTTTGATTTTCGAAGCCAAGGGTCTGTTTTGAGTGAGTTTGGGTTTTAAAAAAAAGATTAGAATTGCTATTTTTGCCATAACGGTTAAACCAGAATCAAGGGGAGCTGGGACCCAAAGGGTTAATCAATCTGAAAAGAGTTGTGGTTAGTGGTTGGCTTTGAGGGGAGGAGTGTTAATGTACTGAAGAAGTCCAAACCTGTTGGGTCACTGCGACTAGACTTACATTCCAGCTTTTTAGTTTAAGTAAGAGTTGTGTGGCATTTTTGTAACACAATTGGGTCATACAGACTTCAACATAAGTTAAGGACCACTTGCAAACACTCTGAGTGGTCTATTTGGGTCGACCTGCACGTGGGCGTTCTTGGATGGATTCAGTGGCTTGATGGCGCTGGCTCAGGCGGACAATGACAGAGTGTGACACTGCAAGCCTTCAGGCAACTTCTCGGGCTCCAACTCCATCCTGCAGCCATGCCATAGTCCTGGCACGATCAAAGTCTCTCAGCTGTCGTCTTGGTGGCATGTTGATGCGATACTGGATTTTGCAC